TTAAAATAATAAAGTACCGAGCCTTCTTATTACTGTGCAAGTGAACTTACCTTGCAGCCTCTATTTTATTTTTGCGATATTTGTTGGATATTTTACCAAATACAACTCTCAAAATGATCACGAACAGAATCAGGTTTATCTGAAATGAAAAGAAATAATGTCGTCGAAAGCCGGTGAAAGGGGCTAAAATGAAATCCCGAAGGGATGCCACTAGTAATTAAACAGCACTGAGTAAGCTTCAATGTACGCTGCTGTGAGTCAAAAGGTAAATTTTGTTTCAATGAGCAATAACATTTTTAAATGACACACTTCTCGATTTTTAGTGCGGCCCTCATCCATGTTATCTTCGAGAAGTAAAAATTTTAAACTCTAAGTTCCATTGTCTTATACTACATATTGAAGTGGTAGGCGGGCCTCTAGCCCAAAGCTGGTTTCGTAATTTTATTTGAATTCTGTCTCAGTCTAGGCAATCTACCTCTGAATATGCAGCATATGTGGTAAGTGGAAACTTCATGGCCCAAAAAGGAGGAGTGCTAGGGCTGGTGTAGTTGTACGAGTCCCCCGCCTTCCACCAAATTAAAGAGGCCTGGTTTTAAGTCCCGGTTAACAAAATACGAGGGTTAAGTTTGTTGTTGTTTTTTTGTTTTCCTCGAGAGATTTCCCGCCGGGTACTTCGAATTTCTCCTGTCCTCCAAAACCCACACCTTCAAATTCCAGTTTGAACTACAATGTGTTTCCGTACTACTAAAGGGCCACGAGTTTAATTCTCAGCCTTTCATGCAAATTTCAGTAAATTTATACCCTTTCAAAGAAACGTTTGACGGTTTGTTTAATTCCTGTACATGTCCGTCAAACTTAGGTAAAGGCTGCGTGAATGTTATAGGTATGAAATCATTGGTGCTCACCAGGAGAATTGCTAAAACTGGACCTTTGTAAATCCACTGACTGCCGTTTATCCAGCATCTGTAAACACAAGAATAAAGCGAACTAATAACCTTTAAAATGGTGATGCTCGCGATGATAACGATCATATCGTGTTAGAGTTGTAGTTGTCGATAATAATTCATGACGGTGATGATTAACTACTATAATGGTATTTAACTACAGTAACAGTAAGGTTGTTAATAGAATGTCAGTTTACCTGGTTCTTTCGATCTTCGCGGCAAAATTCAATGAGCCGCATGTAATGTTCTTATACAAACTTTTCCCCATGTCATAAGAAGAAGGACGAATAGCAGCCACCAAGCCAACGATGACTGCTGGTATTCCTAAAATTATGACAACAAAACCATTTTCTGTTGAATATACACTGAAGGTGTGTACTCCCCTCAAATACACCAAGAGCAATGTGTCTTCACAAGGGAAAGGGCATCTATTATAGAGGTGGAGTTTTTTTATGAACTACGGTATTTTTGAAAAGAATTAAATCTGTGTATGATAAAGGCTTTCCCCTGTAGAGCCACTTCGAGTGTATGGCATTATGATTTCTTTACAAATTGAAAAAAAAAAACCGGAAAAGCCCAAAAGTGATTTATTTTAATGGCCACTAACACAACTTCCCTTTTCAAACAAGTTTAGATAGTTTTTGCCTTGATTTATCTGTCTTCATTCAGACTGACGTAATAATAATTAGCCTTGCTTACATCTATTAAGCGTGAAACAGAATCTTTTGAATATCTACTTTTAGTTCTGTTGTTATCAGCCTTTTAAGATACTCACCAACTCTTTTAAACCTTTATAATTAGTAATTATTATTCTTATTCTTGTTCTTATTTATTCAATTTTTTTTTCTGGCAACATTTTACAAATTATATTTCTAAAAATCTATATTTGGATAACTAGGGAAAAACATCCTGCAATAAATGTTTCTATTTGTGAAATCTTCATGAAAAAAATCTGCAATCAGTGGTCTAATCGTAGAAATATAAAGATACAAACCCCATCCCATCATCAGGTAAGATAGATACGGTTTGCTGACTGGGAAGACTTTGACCAGCTTTATGTAAAGATTGATTCCTTCCACCAGCATCCAAGTAAACAGAGATGTGTGAAGATAGTGCTGAATCACCGTAACCAAGCAACAAAGGACCTAAAATAGAAAAGATCCTTTCAAGTTATTCTTTTTTCACCACTTAAATTAAATTATTATTGAATTATTAAATGATTTTTTTTCGCGAGACGATTGGACCGAGTAATACACATTCATTTAGTCGCAACTCAAAGAGATATGCATTACTTAATATTGATCGAAATTTCAATATGGAGTCAATATTGTTTAAATTCCTGACCTGGTAATGTAAATAGAACGTTTTCACTTACGTGGCCAGCAGCTAAGCAAGTCACCCAGTTTATTGCAACACAAGAGAGAAGTCACATGTGAAGAGTTTTTTTCTCACAGGAATGGTAGGGACACCAACATGACCGCCGTTTGATTGTTCATGACGAACGTGACGTCATGTGAAAAGGCTAATATCACCCACGATAAGTTTGGCGTAAAAAATGTAAATTCCAGTATCTGATTTGTAGGCTTCATATTCATATACAAAAAATATTTTTTTATAAGCATCATGAGTTAAAATGTGTGGGGGTGTGTTCGAGCAACTCGCTCACTACACGATGAGGTACCAGGAATCTGACTTACATCTTGCCTTTATTCTTCTTACAACTTCTACTTACTCAGCAACTTTCTCAGTTTAAACAACTTCTCTACTTCTACTCTACGTCTCCTCCTAGTTCAAGTATAGTAGCATTTTTTAATAGCCAAAGCTGGACATGTTTTGGTTAGCAGACCGGAAGAGTTTCTATTGTACATGTTATCGCTAACATTGCAACAGGTTTGCTATTGTTAGGGAATAGATTGGCCTACGCAAAAACAAAAGATCAAAACAGGAAAACAGTATACGTGGACAAAAACAAGACTTAATGAAACAAAAACTAAACTTAAAAGATAAGATAGATCCGTCTTAAAAATAACTTTCAAAATACTTCACAACAAATGACAGCAACACAAGAAATAAATTCGTCATTGTTATTGTTTTCTATTCTGTTTTTTTAGACTCATTACAACATGTATGACCTGGTGCCAATATAGGGTTATACACGCTTTGCTAATTTATCGAAGGTGTCTGCCAACTCAAACAATTGAACCGCGAACAGGACCTTAGCAGCTCGGGATCAAGAATCATTATCTGATCCAAAAATGTTGGGATGCCAGCGTAAAATACCCGAAATTGATAGAGCATTAAACAAATTTGTGGACCTCCAAAATATTTTAGGTTTTTACTCCCAACAGTGTGATTTTGTGATTGTTTCAATAATAAGGAAAATACTGAACATGTCAACGGAGGCCTGCATACAAACCCTTAAAATTTTGCATATATTCTAGCTGTGAATCATAAGATCTTATAAGGCTATAAGAGACAATCACCTTAAACTGACTTTCCAGCTAACTTTCTCTTCCCATCTCTCGTTGCATTTCACAAAACCTGCATAACTGCGAGCTGCAGAGATCTAATTAGTCTCCAATGGACAAGAATGCCGTTGTGAAGAGTTTTGACTATGTATTACATTATTGATAAGATGAAAAGGGGATAACGAATCTAACGCATAGCATGTAAACTTTAGGAACTGTGATAAACCATAAATCCTCGAGACAGCTTACAATATGATCCATCCGTGTAGAAAATGAGGCGATATCCAAAATATACACGAGGTTACCAAGTCCAAGAGAAAAGAGAAGATTCTTGTGAACGAAAATTTTCTCAGTGCTTTTAACCCTATAGAATTAATAAAATAAAATGGTAAGTAGCCCTATGTTTTGCACAGTGCTTTCCACGGATTCTTCCAGCAGGCATGGACGTCTCTCTTGCGTCCTTTTAGCGGTGGTGAAAAGCGACCGTATTCGTTGACTATCGAAGGTTGCTTATTTTTAAGAATCATATTCGTAAGGATAATAGTTCAAAACTGTCAAGGGCAAAGTAAGCTTAGTGAAGGTCACAATACGTAACACACTTGAAAAGCATTTTTCAATTTAAGTCCGTTAATTTACCTTATCATGGTAAGTATTATGAGAGACAGGATCACTGCAACAACAGATACTCCAAGAAGGACCAACTCTAAGTCCCTTTGGACTTGGTAGTGTTTGTTAGTGGCAGCAGGTATTTGTACTTTAAAGGCGTCTTTTTCCTGAAAAACAACAATAAATGATGACTTCATTGTACTACAACTACCAGAACCCTTCAGTTTTTCATGGGGGAAACAAAGTATCTGAAAAATGTTGCAGCTACATTATAGCTGCGGAAGAGAGGATAAAGGGGACAGAGAAGGCATCCCCCATACACACCCTATTCCATAGGTAATTCGTCTCGAGTTATTTTTAAGACCACAGATCTCAAGGGGGATTAGGCAAGAGCCAATCACATTGCGCGAATGTGTTCCGCGCGGATGACCCACGCTCAGAGCCACGGATCCTTCACGAATTGACGCAGAACAAAATGGCGAAGACTTAGAGTGATATTGCTATTCGTTTTTCCGACAAAAACGACTACGGAGAGATTTCTGCTAAAGCTGTGTCAGCGAAACGGAAATTAAAAAAGATTGCCCTTCCTCTCTTGTATAGAGCTAACAGTACAGCAGGGAAATCCTTAACACACTGAATATTCTCTCAGGATCATTCATAATTTACAGTTTGAAGAGAGCAATTTCTGGTTTGATATTTATTCTTTTATTAGTCTTTTATTATTCAACAAAAATAACACTTGGCGTCCTACTTGCTTTATTGTAAAAACGACCGGTTTCAATAGACCGGCGAAATTTCTCATTGTAGTAAAGCACTAAGGTTACGACAACTTTGAGTTAAACTGATTTCACGGGTTGTCAAAGAGTCTAGCGATTCCCTTTTCCCAGGTGAGGGCCGACTCATTTCGCGTCAATATCCAGGAATGCTTTCGATCTCTTTACGCTTTCATTCCCTTTCGCCCGACATGTTTTGCACGGCGTTTAGTCATGCGAAACTTCCACGAAACATCCACGCAGCGCGCGAGGTAACTTTATCCCAATTCTAAAAATAACTCGAGACAAATTACCTATGGAATAGGGTGTGTATGGGGGATGCCTTCTCTGTCCCCTTTATCCTCTCTTGAGCTGCGTTAATTGGCCCTAACTCTTCAAGAGTCTGCCCCTTGTCTTGGCCAAGAAATTTTAAAATCTTTTTTTTTTTTTCGTCAATGAAAAAATCGATGATGTATATCAAAAAGTGAAAGCAAAACGTTCCAATACACACCCCATCCACCCCCCCCTAGACTTCACAAAGGCCAAAGACAATTATTCCCGATAAAGCGTAGCAGAGCATTGGGCCTTATTTATGGTGATATTAAGAAAATAGATTTCGTTTGTGATCGGCTTGGAAAACATTACCTGGTCATAATCGAAATGAGAGCAGTTGTTGGCCGCGAGGATAGCTTTTATTTCTTCAACAGAGAACTCTGTTGGCTATAATAATAGTGACATTGCAAATTAGATTTTAGTACGATAACTAATACCGGTATGAAATAACAAACAATACAGGAAATTAAAACTACATACCCCAAATACAGTTTATGATGAAGTATATCTCATTCATATAAGAACATATAATGACGTATAGATCTCGTCAGAGCGAAGAGCTATAAACGTGGGCCCTTGGGTTCATGTTTCAAACATTAGCAACGTACGACTTTCGAAATAACGGTAATGAAACGCTTTAGGAGGCAAGACTGGATTTTTTAGGGAGGATAACTCCCAAGTTTGAGCATTGTTCAACCTTGCCCTAATCGAGGCAGCGAAGAGAGGTATAAGGTCACTTAAGCGATTTCTGAAAAATGATTTCTGGTAACAACAAAAACAAAGGCAAGAAAAAAATCGTAATAGCGTCATTACGTTGCCACGGTAACTCCGATGTCAATAAAACAAATAACCAATTGACATTTTTAAACAATACTGCTGTGGTAACTTTTTCCTGGTTTTGTTAACGCCGACGTAGTAAATGCTTAAACTTGAGAGGAAATTCGTCAATAAAACAGGGACGGCACAAATGTTACCAGGTGTTTATCTTGTATTTCTGTGAGGTTTCAGCTAGATTTGACCAGTATAACACCGAGCTTTACCTAACAATACAGTTAAACAACGAGAAAGGAAGGGCTGAATCGCCTTCTAAGTACTTCGAAAAGTAGCTCCATGCTCGCCGAACTAAAACGAGTCCGTGCTTTCGACCAAAACCTGGTTTCACCTTGATGGAACCTAGGTGTTATGGTGATGCTCATGCCGTACACAAATGACGTAATTCAAAATGGCACCGAAAAATCCAACGAACCACGAAAAATCACCACAGATTATCCAAGCACCACCAGGTTCCTAAGATTAAAAGTTGCTTTCTCCTCAGGTCAAACGTAATTGCTGTTTCATAGCAATTAGCTTGGGTGATGTCTAGTTGTGGCTTTCTTTTGTTACCTTTAATGATGCAAAACCACTGCCAAAGTGAATTTTGCACGAATTTGATGTATCACAAATCCGACCGCGGCTAGGCGGGTTAGCCCACCTTGAATCGTTTACATGGCAAAATTGACCCCGACTGAGAGAATAACAACCAAATTATGCACTCAAGCACACGTACCAACTCCGCGTTATGGCCAGTACCTTAGGCATGCGCACAACCATATCACCCCGGCAGTGGCAGCCATGGACAGCTGTTTCGCCCTTACCGGAGCTCATCAGCATGGTTTGGCCGTCGGGTCAATGGGCGGGGGAAAAACCCGCGTATCAAAGACTTTCTAGCACACGAGTCAATTTTCTCATCCTACCTCCATACGCATGCCGTGGGAGAACCGTTTTGAGGTTCTCAACCAACAGATACCACTTGTTTATTGTGGAGCAGGCGCTTAATGAAGTGCTTTGCACTCGACTCGGCAGTGAAGGGTCTAAAGTGTGACACGACAGCTAAACCATGCTGATGAGCCCCAACGATGGCGAAATCGCTGTCCGTGGCTGCCACTGCCTGGGTGATATGGTTGTGCACATGCACGCGGTGTTGGTACGTGTGCTTCAGTGATTAGTAATGAGGGGATAACCCGGTCTGGCAGACCGGACTACCCACCTCGGTGGGTCACCAAACCTATCATGTAAACGTGATCAAATTAAAATGAGAGATTATATGGACAGGCGGGTTACCCCACCTAAGCGGGTTACCTCACCTACCCGAGGTCCCCCACCTCCATGTAAACAGGCCCTAAATCTATAAATTAGAAATGATGCAGTAATGACTCATTCCAACCTTTAAAGTCTTTCTGATTATTCAGCATTACCTCCTTACTTGTAGTGTTGTACTTTTGAGAGATCTCAGTCGAAAAGTTAAAGACAGTTGGCGTCGGGTTTAAAGACCTTGCAGAAGGACCTTTAATAGCTTCACGTGTAATCAATGGCGCACTATTTAACTGCATAATGAGCTCTGTTCTTTTAATAAATACTTTTGAGGGGCGGATGCTTCCGTCTCCAAAATTTAGCAAATCAGTAGAAAACCTGTATATGAAAATACAACAAAAAACGTAGGATTGATATAAAAAGAATATCGGTAGCTCCAATTTTTCCGCATCACGTCACAAAGACTTTTGAATCAAACCGATGTGCATGCTAACTAATTACTGAGTGTATAATGGTTCATTAACTTACGATTCCTTGCGTATTATTAACAAGTTTTTGCCCCATGTTCATTCTTGCAGGTAAGTGACGTAAAATGATAACTGTTTCAAAATCCACGAGTGAGGAGTAAGTTATTTTCTATTCGATTGTGCACAGAGGAACACCGATATGAAAATGACAGGGGTCCTTTTTTCTTTCTTTCTTTCTTTTTTGTTTTGTTTGTTTTGTCTTTCTGTTTATTTATTTATTTTTTTATACTTATTTTCCTCTCTACTGACCCAGAAAATTTACTTCAATAATAGAGTATTCAGTTGACCAATTTCAAGTGGAGCTCACGCGCGCGAAGCGCACGCAGCGGAGCACCACGGGTACGAAAATGTGGTAATCTACCCTCCGAGAAAATTTGGTAATCACGTGACCGTACGCCTGACCGTCCGTCTGCACCACAGGCATACCAATGTTAAATAACCCAATCAACAGGTATGGCAACTCAAATGCAACTGGAGGTTATTTTGGCGGGAAATCGCATAGCCACCCGCGTCTTGTAAGGCAGACGCAGCTAAAGAGTCAATAAAGACGAAATCGGACGGGCGGCAGGCCAGCGAAACGCAACGAGAATAAGGGCGACAGAGATCTAGAGCGAGAGATAAAAAAACAAAGGAGACATATTTTTTTGTTGGAAGAAAAACATGAAAATTTTGTAGCGGCGGTGACAAAATGAGAAATGCTAGCGGCCACTAATGCAAGGAGAAAATGAGCGGCAGTGAAAAAAAAGTGAACGAGAACACGTACGACATTTCCTCCAGAAAAAAGTTTCTGGAGGTTTCACGTTGCAGTCGTGCAAAACAACGGCAAAGAAATGTACAGAAAAAAGTGTGCTGCACGTGCAAAGTTGCTTTTTGCTAATTAGACCTACTGTTGTTTTTTCACCGTTCTCCGGCGTTGTTTGAACAAACTATAAATATCATCGAGAGCTTGGCTTTTAGCCCTGGCTAAATCTATAGATTAATTGTCATGTCATGACGCCAACTGGACATTAAGAGGTGGTATCAATTCTCCGACTACGATGTTACGGTGTGACAACCACCAATTGACGATTTCTGACAAGTTATTCTAAAGATCTTGAACAAGGCAATTGTTTGATTTTGGCGATGTCCATACGAATCCGGACATTTTTGAAACCACATACTGTACAGCTGTACTTTTTTTTACATGAATCGACCTTTCGTCCAAACGAAAACAGTGAATCCACTCACCGAAACCGCATATTTTTGAAACCGCACTCCAGAGTGATTCAGGACCCTGTCTACACGAATCCGGGTAGCAAAATATCCGGCTTCAAAAATGTTAAAGTTTTCATTTTCGATTAAAGTTTACATTTCTAATGATATTTTTAATTGCCATTATTATACCTACGTAACAAGAGCGAGCATTATTGTTTGTTTTTTTTTGCACGATTCTGTTTGGGCTAGAATCCCACAACTTAAGACGCGACAATAGACTCAAAATTATTTGCAGACAGTACATAACGACTGAATTCTACACCTATCATTTTTGTCACCATGACTGTAGCCTGCAATGCCAAAACGTCCGCCTGTAATCTTCAATCAGTTGTGGAGGAATCACAAATAAAAACATATTAAAGTCAGGCCCTTGTTCAAGACATGGCCAACAATATCCAGTAGATAAATCTATATTTACCTACCACGCAATTTATTTCCCTAATACTTACCCGTTGAATAGTGATTTATCCGGTGGATAGCACTATCACCAGCAACCGGGGCCAGGTAAATAACTTCTAATCGAGACAATTTTCTTATGTATTAAAATTCTAAATCTCAAATCGATAGCCTATAGCGCGTGATGAAAGAGTGGATGGCGACCTGTCTTGCTTCTGCTAAGGTGTGTCGCGCAGGTGCAGGGGCATTGAATATTCCTTGGATACGATAATATTTAACAATTAGTCGCCGAAGGCGACGTGAATATCGGCGAATAGTCACCGAGACGAAGTCGAGGTGACTATTCGCCGATATTCACGTCGTCCGAGGCGACTAATTGTTTTAGTATAATTACATTGATGATTATTCGAGAAAATAAAATTATTGATCAATTTCCGACTCTGAAACATCAAAAAATCTGGCTGCCATTTTGAAAACTGCTAGCCTTCAATGCTATAATCACCGCGCGTGTGATTATAGCGGGATAAAGCGAAGCTCCTAGCCAATCATAGCGCTCTATTTTCGATAATCATCAATGTAATTATACTAAATAGATTTAGCCAAGACAAAAGGCGAAGCTCCGGTTAATAGATTTAATATATAGATTTAGCCAGGGCTAAAAGCGAAGCTCCCATTAATAAATTTATAATTTAAATCAAACAATAAACTTGTAATCCATAAATCAGTTAACTTTAAGGGAAAGCTAAGGCTAAGTGATTTTAGAGTGAAAAAAAAAATCTTACATCGAATTGATAGCCGTATATATACACCCAAAAAATAGCAATCATCTTCGATCACATTTTAGAGCCATAATGGCTCTTGATCACAGTAGATTAGGCCTGGAAAACGAATTTTTGGAAAACAAATCAGGCTGAATTTTTGGCGTTCGACAAGTTTACTTAACAAAAACTTGCCAACAACTCTGGGAGCGTGTAAACCAACATTTCATACTTTTTATACATCACATCTAAAACAGTGATATGAGGCGTTATTTTTATCATATAGACCTCAGACAAAATGCAGTATTTCACAATTTTTCAAGACAAATTGCACTCATTCAATATTCAGAACCGTACGAAGCACTCGTGGGCTTTTAGCAAAACCGTTCAAAAAATTTCCAAAATCATTTATACGGCCAGCCGTTTCTCACTTTTGACAAGCGCCAAATTTTCAGTGAACATTAAACGAGTTACGCTTCAACATAATAAAGAATTTATTGTGTTTATTTTTTTTATTAAATGGTTTTATAACGATGTGCAATCTTAAAAAGCGTTTGATACGAGCAGCATTTTGAGTACTCCTGCAAGCGTTGTTTATGAACGACTGAAAACAAACTGCAAAGCGATTAAAATTGTAAGAGACTACTAACAATCAATAAAAGAAATGTAATTCGGTGAAACATTTACAGAGACAACAATTTTCATTCACGAAGACAAGTATAAAAGCGTCTCTAAAAACTGAGTCTTTAAGCTTAAGCTTAAAGCTTTTAGCCGGCTTCCTGGTGTTTACTGTTTTCAAAGATGAACTCGAGGCAAGAAAACCGCTCAAAGCTTTCTTTCTACAGCCAAAATTATAACTAAATACTCTTCGGAAAGTTTTTTCGTTCTATATGCGGAGAGAAAATATCGACTAAAGGCTTTTTAAAGTTCTGTAAGCTTATATATACTAGATCAGATCATTGTCTCAGATCTTAACACAAACGTGCATAAATTAGCCTCATAAACTGCGCTTGACTTCATGAAATTAGATATAAAAAAACAAACATACACTGTATACAATAATTACTTAGGCTTACCATTCGAGATGTAGCTCTTGAAAGCTATAAAGTAAGACCAGAATCGCTTGAGGAACTTTTCAACCCGCATCCAGCAAGGTAAAAACGAAAGCGATGCATCCGAAATCGGATTTCCAACTTTGGCAACCGGCGCATTTCCCGACCAAAAATTCAATAAACAAACCAGCCATGAATCAAAGAAGACTGTTGATAGCAGCTGTATTTCATTTTAAGCATCCAGTGGAAAAAGACAGTAAAAAACATCACAAGTTGACAAAATACTCTGTCAGCCTCAGCTGTCAAACTGAAAGTAAACTAGGTTCAAGATGCTGTATAAATTTTCTGAATGAACTGGCTCACCTGTCAAATTTTGACCAAACAGAGCATAAAAATTGGACTGTCGTAGAGCGTGATCAACGCGTGTCTATGGTGAGAAAAGTAAAAAGCCTCTGTCTTCCCTGCTTGTATTTTTAAATGACTGGCTGAATTTTCGAGTCCGAGATCAGTTTGAAATCAAAATGTTAATAGCGCGGGGCCATAGTGACATTAACACAACACTTTCTGTCATCATGTCATTATTTTGCTGCCTTTCTCTTTGCCTTTGTATTTCTCTTTCGCGTTGCCTTTGTCTGTTCATTCTAGCTCTGTCTCGTTCTACTTGCCGGCGTTTTTCACTATAATTTTCTCTCCTTCTTCTCGCTCTGACTCTTTCTACTTGCTTTCTTTTTTTCAAAACCAGTTGCGCGATATAATTGCGCGACGTTGCTCCATGCGATTTCCCGCCAAAAAAATCTCTACTTTCCCCTACCCCAAGAGTCCATGCGGACTACTTTCCACTACCCGGAAAGTCCGTGCGGACGGACGTACGCTACGTCATAACCAAATTTTCTGGGATGGATAGTTTACCAAATTTTCTTACCCATGGTGCTCCGCTATAATTTACTTCAAACAATAAATACCCTGTTTTGACAGCTATCACCTGAACTCACCAGCCAGAAAAGGTGAGATTTCGCATTGGTTTACCTGGTCGGTCGGACGGACGTACGGTCACGTGACTACCAAAATTTCTCGGATGGAAAGATGACCAAATTTTCGTAGCCATGAGGTTCGGCTCCAGCGCGCGTCGAGGTCCGCAATTAGTCATCTATTTTCCTCACAACATTGCACTACATCTCTCGTCAGCTTATTGCTTTTTAAACTCACCTAACACCTGTTATCATATGTCTTGACACATTTCTTAAACCCATGGTGTAAGCTTGAGTGTTGGTTGGAGCTGTGCGGAGAAATTCCAAAACTCTGCTAATAAGGTTATACCTTGCTTGAGCCTGTAATTAGTTGAATTCTGAAGTTATTTCATAAGCAGGGAAAGTATGATTGATCTTCCGGGAGTGAATGTAGTCCTGAATGTAGTGTACTGTGACTGATGTTTCGACAAATTTTACTTTTTAGCGGGAAAACAAGAGACAGTCTTTTGATTTAGACATCGTTGAAGAGTTTGAAAAGTGAAAAAAGCGTAAAATTGTAAATTTTTTATTAAGATTAAACCTAAGGGTAAAAAACATGTTGAAAACAAAGATCCCTTACCAAATAAGGCAACTGACAAAACGCGGTCGGGTCATAATCTGACCCAGAAAAGGCACCATTGTCATCCAACAGATTTATGATTTGCTGCAGAGTAAATAAGAGCAATGACGAATTCAAACTAAGTTAAAAAAGCGAAAGAAACGTCTTAACTTTTTTCATAATTGACTAATGCGCTTTTGCATTTGGCCATATTAAATGAAAGTTGAGAAAGAGGCATAAATATTTTCAAGTTGCACTATTTTGATTGAGAAAAAGTTACACCTCAAATCTTAAAGGTCATGTGGCCTTTCGTCTACGAACTTCCTTAAAATTTACGTTTCCATATCACGGGAACCCTTCATGTAGGGTAGTTTTTGTTCATAATTGGAAAAAGCTTTGACTAGAATTCCCGTGAAATTAACACATGCTAGGAAAAGAAAAAATCCAAATAAAATATTGTGGCAGGGAGGTGGATGCCACTTACATGTTCTTCTCCAATTTTGGTCCTTCCTATTTTTTAAAACATATTTTTCAAAAATTAAGGGACGGTTGATTGATATCAGTGAGGGATATATAAGACAAGATAAGTGCCATGTAGGTGGTGACCATCTTATGGGATAGGATTAACTTCTTAAATTTAGATCATGTGATTGTGAGAGATCATTCGCCATCAGAATATTATTTATTAACTTATAAACATCATCAGGTTTTCCTAGATTGATCATATCTAGTAGATTTATTTATCTTGGTATTCTTTTTGCGCTCGTTTTTCCTAAAGGAAAACTGTAGATTCTTGGACAAGGATAGCTTAATTGTTTTGAATAAAACAAAAAGATAAATAATAAGGTAAAGCAAATGTTTCTACTTCAAACAAATTCATGATCAACAATTTTTCTTTGCGTTAGTTGTCTATAAATTGCTTCAGAAAAAAATTAAATTTAGTCAAGATACAACAGCTTCACCACAGTGGCTTTTGTTGTTTTTGTTATTGCTGTTTTTCGCTGTAATCATTCTCCAAGTAATTTTCCCTCAATGTTTGTTGCTGTCTTCTCTGTCTCTGACTCTATAAGTATAGATAATTACCTTATGCTCCAGCCCCTTAAAGTTTCCTCTTATTTCTTACCTCGCTAAGTTGTGCGACCTTATCTGAATTACGTCTTGTAATTGGAGAAATAACTCGTCTTACAGAAGAAAACAGGTCATTCATCATCTCAAGAAAAACGTCTTTGTTCTTGAATCTGTCATATGAATTCACAAATTCCGCGGATATATTCACTATATTTGTGGTATTAATTCTCTGAATCTAAAAAAAAAAGATTGCACCAAAAGAACATAATTATTCTCGGCTTTTGAAACAAAGCCAACGCCGGGCGTGTTTGTTTAACAGTATTCCGAAAGAAAAATAGATGGAATAAGCCCTAGAAATCCCTTATTCAGGCTTTCATTGTATCGCTACATCTCCAAATCTGGCGGAATTACAGTGTTAAGGTGAATTTGACTTCCCATTGGTTAATTATGTCATGTTCAACGAGATTTGTAACCAAATGATGTTATTGACCGTTACTCTTATTCTGGGGCACGGTGAATTAAACGCGCCCATAGTAAAAGTCCCCGTTCTCTAAAATGACTCAGCCAATCAACTAGCCATACTGAAATAAACGGCTGTTAAGCAAAAAGTTAAAATCTTAAAGTGCAAGAAATAATTATGACAGGTTGATTAGAGATCACCCCACATTGCTCAGTACTCCTGTCACGATTAGCCAACGCTGTCTTGTGAGCTTGGAAGTCGAATAATGAGAAAGTTTTTCTTGTTTTCGTGGAATAATTGCAAAACTTAATGAATTCCACTACTATTATTTCGTTTGCAATAAGCGCATACAGTTCTATAATTGATAGGTATTGAGCAAAGAATTATATCGCGGAAATTGTTCGGTAAAGTACATTTCAAGTTAGTTTTGAATAAGAATACTGTTCTGTTAACGTAAAGCTACGGTCGTGTATCGTACATCGATGCACTGAAATACCATGGCCAGCAAGAGGCAAAAAAAAACATTCCTGAATGCAAAAATAATACCCACAAAAACGATGTTTCTTTTTCTGAGAAATTTTCTTGAGAAAACTCTCAAGATAGTCCTACAAGGCTTGTACATTTACTGAAGGCAAGTTTCCCGGAGTAGCTGTCCTCGCTTCTGCATGGCGATCGCGGATAAACTGCCCTGTCCATGCCGTCTGCCGGATACGGTCCTGAATAAAAAATGCCTTTAAACCCGATCATCAAGTACACCGGAAATCACAAACCAATTGTCCTTTATTTACAACTTTCCCAAAAAGGCTCTATACGATTGGTGGAGAACCCGGTCATCAAGTATGCCAAAAATCACAAACCAAGCCTTTAATGCCCTCTGTTGCAAATTCGAGAAGTGTCAGAACCAGACGTCCCCATGGAAGAGTCTTATACAGTGTATTAGCAGGATGGTGTAATTAATTAACGTCAGGTGTTTTTTTTTTTTATGAGGAACTGATATTTCTCAGTCCTTATAAATGTAATTCAACACACCCATTCTCTTATCTAAAACAGGTGTAGTAATGTCCTACCTTTTGTCTGAAATAATCCACCAAGGCTTTTCGTTCACAACCACACGTGATCTTGTGAAACCAAGTTGTCACAGGTCTGCTATTAGTTCCGCACTTACTACTAAATGTGCCTATAAATTAATGACGTTTTAGTGCTGATTGATTAGCGACTGTATCGTTACGGTCACGAAGTTGTAATGTGGATACTCCGTGTGTCCTGTGTGAGTTTATGTTTTTAGTACATACATGCAACAAGTATATCCTATTTTATGTCATTCTAATATTTTCTGTTTAGTTACGGATCAGTGAAGAGGACCACCTCTCTCGCTAGATACCTACTTATTTGTTCTTACCGCATTTTAGGTTAATCTATAAGTGAAGAACCATACGGCAAAATTTGATCTCTTTTCTCTATATAACAACCGAAAAAATAATAGAAATTAAGTTTGACTGTCATCCACGTTGGACAAAACAAAGATCAGACAATGATTATATGAATGACTACATTAAAATTTATAGAATGGTACAGTGTAAAGAAGCAATATGGCTTTGAATAGATCCTACAAAATGGGTGGTGACAATGCAAGAGAAAAGTAAAAACCAACAAGTATAGCGCCAGCGGTAAAGTGACAAAGGTCTATTAATACATGTAGCTATTCTACCTGTTAAATTTGAGTCAACTAATGAGCATTCTACTGTTACTTCCTCGCCGGTCTTTGTTCGAGGCCAATGCACGCCAAAAGTTATCTCGGACTGACAGAAATCTGAAACTGGTAAAATATACGCATGTGTAAAAGAGCGATTTTTATTCGCAAGATTTTCCCTAAACACAGGTCTCTCAAGACCCTTCATCTGGAACGATAAGGCCTAATCTGATCAGGGCCGGCTAGGGTTTTTGGGTATACAGTATTTTGGGGCATTCAATTTCAGGTATACAGTATTTTTATGCTTAAAATTGGGTATAAAGTATTACGCTTTTTGGAATTTTGGTAGAGTATACTAGCTCTGAAAGATTATATCGTCCAATAGGAAATTAAGTCTCGGTTAAAATCTGGAGGAGCTTTCCAGACTTTCCCTTGAGTGCCTTTGTGTGCCATGTCCTAAGTAAATCAAGTTGTAGTTTCCGGAAACCATCTGTAGTTTCCTGTGAAGAGGGTTCGACCAACACACTTATTATGACAGACACCAATAATGGTAGATTGAAGATGATAACAACGTACGCTTGCATTATACTCAAGACGTTCCTGGAGAATCTGCGGAAGCTGTTAAGTGCATTCAATGGACAACAGATGATGCTGGAGGTCTTGATGACACTAGCCCTGACTCAAGCGTATTTACACCGGAGCTTCTTTATGAGCAAGCAGTGCGTGTTCACCAGGTGAAGGGATCCACCGCTCAGACCTAAAATCAGGAACTCTCTCTTCCACAAAGCCTACTAGGACTTAACGTTTGCAGCCCCCGACTCTCGAGCAGGGAATACAGCAACACCAACTATGCTGGATTTCAGCTTGGGTTTTGTAGTGTGTAAAAGGCAACTTAGAAAACTGTAGATGTTTCAACTGTATCACGAACCCTAAAGCCAGCTACTAACTGCAGTTATCTAAACTTTAAAGGCGTTACCATCAAGTTTCCTGAATTGGCAATACTTCCAAACTCCTCGTACGGGTTGCTTTGCACCATAGCACTATAGAACAGACGCTTCTTGACAGTTAGCGTCAATCATTGGCAGGAGTGCACGACAGAAAACAACTCAGAATTTTCCGTAAAAGACAATCCTGAAAAGCTGTTAAACGTTAAACCCTACTGCAAGATAAAAGTAAAGTCGAACCTCCATGTGCGACTTACGTCAGTGACCACCTCAGATAAGTGCGATTCCTAAAATTAATACACTTGAAACCTTTCGTAAATGACCACCTCTTACAATCGACTATAATCACCTTTATGGATGACGGTTTTAGAATTTAGTTTGATCTCAGTCTGTGTACTACACTACTAAGAGTATGAGAACTTTTCGTGAAAGATGAAACTGCCCATCAGCTGACAGCCAAAAATTTGGGTTTATCGCTCACTCGAGGGGAACAGCCGAAACATGTCACATCTTAATCTTTGATTATTGAGCAACACAAAAATGCATGATAGCAAGGATAAAACGGTAACTTTCACTTTGAAAATCGAAATTTAAATTTGCCCCTCATAATCTCTTTTTGGTCGCCATCTTGGATTTCGGGCAAGGCTACAAAAGTTGCTTATATTCTTTTAACGTTAACAAATCGTGTTTTAAACTTAATTATAAAACATATTGGAACTAAAAACATGACTTTCGTTTGTTCTAGTGCTTTAATTATATCTAACTGACTTCACGTGTGGATACACATCGCCCGTCAATATTAGTTACAATAAGACCGGCAGTTTGCACTTAATACTATCACTGGAAAAAAATGGGAGGTTTACATAATTGTTTCAGACCGAAAAGAGAGTAAGTAGACAAATTTAATGTATATATTGCTAGTGTGTTGAATAGAGATCCCTCG